GCTTTTTTGTAGCAGGAACTCCTTTGCATGTTAGGCCACACAGCCCTAATGTAGCCAGGCCTATCATGCTAATGAGTTCCTGCTGGGCGGGGCCAACTTGGAAGCCAGCAGGAACTCCGTTCCTGCCCAAAAATATCCCTGCTTGGATGGGAGACCAACAGGGAACACTTTGCAGAGGCAGGCACAGAAGCCGGCTGCAGCTCGACGGCACTTTCAGGAGACTGGCCACTCAGCTATGGAGAAACTGAGGCACTGAATCAAGGTTCCCGGGTTGTCTGGTAGGGGTACGGGCAGGGTTGCCAACTCTGGCTTGGGAAATACCTGGAGATTTAGGAGGTTGTGCCTGAGGAGGGTGGAGTTTGGGGAGGGGAGGGACTTCAATGGGGTATAATGCCATAGAGTCCACCTTCCAAAGCGGCCATTTTCTCCAGGGGAACTGATCTCTGTTGCCTGGAGATCAGCTGCAATCCAAGGAGATCTCCAGCCACCACCTGGAGGTTGGCAACCCTCTGTATGGGATTTCATTTACTAACAGGACTGACCCAAGATGTTTTCTCGTCCCAAGTATAAGCCTATAGCCAAAGTTTTATGTTAGGGGTGCTCGAAGTATTGTAGGGCCTCTCAGGGTATTCTAAGAGAAGAGGGAGAATCAGTGCAGACCAGCTAGAACCTGAATACAGGTTGCTTCATATGTTTAATGTTTTTTAATTGTAGGATCTATTCATCTACATCTTCCTTCTTTCCTTCCTCTAAGGCGCTTAGGGTGGTGTACATATTTCTCCTCCTCCAGTTTAACCTCAGAACAACTCTCTGAAGCGGGTCTGAGAGAGATGACTGGACCAGGGTCACCCAGTTATGGTTGCCAACCTCCGAGTGGGGGTTGGAGAGCGACCAGAATTATAACTGATCTCCAGACCACAGAGGTCAGTGGCGGCTTCAGAGAGTGGACTCTATGGCATACCTTGTTCTAGGGCATCCCTGCTGAGGTCTTCCCCAAACGCCACCCTCCCGGTGCTCCGCTCCTAATTTACCAGTCCTAAGTGAGCTTTGTAGCTGAGTGGGTATATGAATAACCAGGGCTCCTTTTGTAGAAAAAGCCCAGCAGGAACTCATTAGCATAACAGGCCACACCCAACAGCAGAAACTCATTAGCACAGTAGGTCACACCCTGACAGCACAGCACATTAGCATATTAGGCCACACCCCCATGTCACCAGAAGTGTGGTCATCCAGCCAAACCTACCTTTTGCTTCTTATTCTGTTTACCTTGTTTGTTGTCAAAACCCAGGGATTTTTTTGTAGGAGGAACCCTTTGCATGTTAGACCACACACCCATAATGTAGCCAATCCTAATGAGTTTCTGCTGTTGGGTGTGGCCTATTATGCTAATGAGTTCCTGCTGGGCGTGGCCAACTTGGGAGCCAGCCGGAACTCCGTTCCTGTGCGTTCCTGCCCAAAAATAGTCCTGTGAATAACATGTAATTTGATTATGTACAATTTAAACATAATTGCCCAGCACTTGACAACTATTCTATATGCTCTGCCAGTCTCTATTTACATGGGACAGGCCTTATTTTCTGGTAATTGTCCCTAGTAAATCTCTGCCATGGTTTTTACCTTTTTGGGATACCTCATTAAAAGTTTGGGGTGCAAGTTGCTCTCCTAGGGTCTGGACACATTAAAACTTGCAGTGGAGAACAGATACTATCAACTGTGCTGTGTGCAGCCTACCATTTCACATCCTTCAGTGACTGAAATAAATATTTTGAACGATTGATGACATATTTGTACTTTACTGTAAAGAACCATTATATTCCAGTTTTTACATGAGTGAAATATGGGTAATTGCAGAGAAAACGGATACATATGTGGTAGGAAAGGTGTTAGGGTTGCCAAGTCAGAAACTTCCTACAGCGGGAAACTCCCGGTCGGCGTCTGGAGCGCGCGAAGCGCACACGCGCCGCATCCACGTCACCCGGAAGTGATGCGGGTACGCCAGGCACGCTGGGGTGGGGCCAGGACCATCCGAGGGAAAACCATAGAGTTTTCCCTCGGATGACCGTGGCCACGCCCCACTTCCGGGTGACGTGCACATGGGGTGGAATTCCCCCCAGGGCCAGATCCCCTGGCGGCGGGGAACGGGCCTCTGGTGCGGGGTTTTGCCCGCCCCCCGGGGGGACTTGGCAAGCCTAAATGGTGTAGAGCCTTCAGACCATGGAAGGCAGTAACAGATCCATAAAGAGATTAGAGATGTCTTTCTTTTGGTTGTTAATGAAAGCTGAAAATTCAGGGAAGGGACCTGGAATTTCCGAGAGGGGGAGTGGGCTTGACACACCTAGACCCCATTGCAGCTACAGCCTTGCCTTTGTCTTGTAGAGATGGCAACTCTTGAGTTGGGAGATTCCTGGAAATTTGGGGGTGGAGCCTGGGGAAGGTGGAGTTTGGGGAGGAGAGCGGCATCAGTGGAGTATCATGCCATGGAGTCCACCCTCCAAAGCAGCCATTTTCTCTAAGGGAACTGATCTCTGTAGTCTGAAGATTAGTTGCAATTCTGGGAGTTTTCCAGGCCCCACCTGGAGGCTTGGCAACCCTATGGTTGCACCAGGCTTTCTGACAGATGTGTCCCAGGAAGCTCTGTAACATTTCAAGGGATCCTGGGGTGGTTGCACCTCTTGAATTCCCTGTGGCATTCATGGTGCCCCTAAAAATACTGATTGTATTGTTGAGTCAGCCTGGTGAAGTCGACAGAGAGATGAAGAATCGGGGTGGAATCTTGAGTACTGAGGGAACAAGACTGGTGGCAGCATTGAGTAGGGTTGGGAATTTTTGGAAACTTGGGGGTGCAGCCTGGGGAGGGATTTCACTGGGGTATAACGCCACAGAGGTCACATTCCGAAGCAGCCATTTTCTCCAGAGGAACTGTTGTCTAGAGATTTCACACCCTGCAGCAGTTGAGGTAAACATTTTGAACTATTGATGACATATTGGCAGGATACTTACATGTTTCTATAATCTCTGTAAACTAGAGAGCAGTTGTAATTCTGGGAGATATCCAGAATGGAGGCTGGCAACTCTCGGAACGAATGAGTTTTACCTGAGTGAGCTATGAAACCATGAGATTTTAAAGGTGTTGTTATATCATGGGGAATTGTGAATCTGGTGATGTTCTCTTATACTGTTGGTTGGGTTGCCAGTTCCAGGTTGGAAAATACCTGGAGATTTGGGGGCGGAGCCTGAGGAGGGTGGGGTTTGGGGAGGGGAGGGACTTCAGTGGGGTATCATGTCCCCTTCCAAAGCAGCCATTTTGTCCAGGGGAACTGATCTCTATTGCCTGGAGATCAGTTGTAATCCCAGGAGATCACCAGCCACCATCTGGAGGTATGAGGCACTTATTTTAATATGGTCCCTCTAGGGAAGTGCTTTAGCTTCACTTTGGACTTTGGCTGTGGCTTGTTATGGCCTAGCAGGGACCAGACCAGGCCCTGCTTTTGTTCCAATACAGTTTTATTTATTTATTTTTCACATTTGTATCCCGCCCTTCCCAGTGGGCTCAGGGCGGCTAACAAGGGCAGGGTATTAACTTTCAACAGGGGTCGTTTCATAGAAAAAGAGCTAGGGGAACTCATTAGCATAACTCATCAGCATATGCCACACCCCCTGACATCAGGGGCCCGGCGGTGGACCTGCAAGGCCAGCGGGAGTGCGAGGAAGCCCCGCCAAGGCCCTCCCTGGCCCCAGGCAGGCAGGGGTGGGGAGAGGCGGGGAGGAAGCAACTTACCCTCCCTCTTCTCCTGCCTCCTCCTGGCTGAATGAGGGCCGGAAGCAGGGGGCGGGGATTCGTCATGTGCCCCACCCCCCTGCACCTCACCCGGGGGCACTGCATTCCCCCGCGATCCCCCCCGAAATGACCTCTGACTTTCAAGTTCAGGTTCCATTGTGCTACACTTCAGTATCCCATACTTTGACACAGGTGGTGCAAATAATAAAAGAAAAAGGTAGTCTAAAGCAAAAGATAGCTGGACTCCCAGTACAAGATGTACACTGGTTTAATTTAGCACTGGCAAGTGAAACCAATGAAACTTCCAGAATGAAGTAGGCCTCTCGCTAGTCACAAGACTGCAAGGTAATCTTCCATCTTGCTTAACATGGAGTAACAAGTGACAAGATGGCACTATATTCCATAAACGCAGTGTATTTAACACAAGTATAAAATGGAGTTTTGAACAGTTTTGAACTGTTTTGGGTACTGGGTGTTGTGGTGTTACTACCGGAGTAAAGATGGAGGGCCCAGGTATTCAGACATCCAAATTCTGTTTTGATTCCGTTGTTCCCCCCAACACCTGAGTTCCTCAGTTTTCTTTTTCTGTGTGCTCGATTTTTTTTTTTTTTATAGAATAGAGCTGCCGACATCAGTGTGGGTGGGAGTAGAGATTACAAGAGCACCTGAGGTGTTAACTTAAGTGGGGTGGCTAAAAATACATGGTGTATCCTTTCCCCTGGCTTTCCCCCATCTTAAGGTGTAATAAAGAATTATGCATCCAGGCTAACAGCAAATTGGAGATGAGGGGTCAGTACAGAAATCAGATCAGGAGGTGGCGAGAAGGTAGAATGGGGTGAAAATTGGCTAAATGGAAGTGGCCAGAGTGAGGTGGTTTTAACCAATGGGCAACAGGGGTAGCTGCCCCAGCCCCCACACTGGGGGGCAGTGTGGCAGTGGCTCATCGTGCCAGTCATGCCCACCCCATCTGAGAGACTCAGGCTGTCGACTTCTGCGAGCTGCAGAGGCTTCTGCCTGCCTCCTATGTTGGCCAAGGGGCAAGAACAACAGGGGGGCCCTATTCTGGGGCCTGTATTTTTAGCCCAGGACCCCAGAACCACTAGGAGCACCCCTGAAAGGAGGGTTTGGAAGGCGAGAGTCCCAGGCACAAGGCCCAACAAGGGGTAAAGGACAGAAGCATTTAAATCACTGCTGACATAAGCATTGGTCCTGCCCTCTGCAGCACAATCGGAACAGTTCTCTTTTCTCCGCCTCCCTACGTGATGCTCTCCAGAAAAAGATAAGCATGTTGGAACATCAGATCCACGCGAAGTCGAACTCTTCCGACCACCATGAACGTGGTGGGTCAACGGCAGCAGGACTAAGACAAGGACACGTCTCCCATGGGAGTGATGCTGAGAAAGGTGAGTGTCCGCACTGGAAGTTGACAGGGCTGTCATGAGGGAACTTGGTCATGGGCTGATGAGGTGCAGGCTGAGGAATGGATGGAAGGAGGCAAAATTAAGAGTAGGTAGATGTAGACACAGAGCCCAGAATAGCCTGATCTTGGAAGCTAAGCAGGGTTCGCCCTGGCTAATAACTGGATGGAAGACCACCAAGGAATACCAGGGATGTGGCGGGGAGGCAGGCAGGCCATGGCAAACCACCTATAAGTGTCTCTTGCCCAGAAAACCCTATGGGGTTGCCTTAAGTCAACTGTGACTTGGCAGGGGGAAAATGTAGACAGAAGGATTTAAATTATGAGCAGGTGGTCCCACATTATGGTTGGAAAGCATGTAGGACAGGAGCTTTACTGAAGCTAAGGAGGTCTGGCTCTAGTGTACCCTGACAGGGAAAAGGGCACAATGCACATAAATAAATGTCATTAAAACAAATGAGTGGATGGGTGGGTACATGTGTAGATACATAGGTAGGTGGAGAGGTTAGGGAGACCATTCCATGAGACGGCTGAAGAGAAGGTAACTGCATCAGTGAGTGCTTAAGTTTGGTGTAGTGGTTAAGTGTGCGGACTCTGATCTGGGAGAACCGGGTTTGATTCCCCACTCCTCCACTTGCACCTGCTGATGTGACCTTGGGTCAGTCACAAGCTCTGGCACAGCTGTCCTTGAAAAAGGGCCGTTTGTGTCAGAGTTCTCTCAGCCCCACCCACCTCACAGGGTGTCTGTTGTGGGGAGGGGAAGGGAAAGGAGTTTGTAAGTCGTTCTGAGACTCCAAGTGAAGGGCGGGGTATAAATCCAATCTCCTCCTCCTCCTCCTCCTCCTCCTCCTCCTCCTCCTCTTCTTCTTCTTCTTCTTCTTCTTCCTCTTCTTCTGTATGTATTACGAGAAGAGATGGACAGAAGCACAGAGGGAAAGAATGCTGGGTCAGTGGATTACTGGAGAGCTAGGTCACTGCAGAGAGAGAAATGAGAAACACTGGGGTGGATGGCGGGAAGCTGAGCTGATTGGATAAACAGTAGTGTGAATCTAGATGCATGGAGATAGGTAGTTGGATGGCAGAGTCTGTGGAGGGGGATAGATGAATTGCAGGCAGTTGTCTACATGGGATGGATGAATGGGACCTGTGCTTTGAGGGGGTGTCTCTTTGTTGGCAGTTCAGTACCACCTTATCCCTTCCATCCCTCAGGGCACAAAGTGGAGAAACGCTCTGAAGACTTCCGTGTGGGTTTTCCTCTTCGCACCAATTATATGTATGCCAAGGTGAAGCGCACCCTCCATCACGAGATCTTTGCCTTCTCCATCTGTCTCTGGCTCAAATCCAGCTCAGCACCAGGGATGGGCACCCCGTTCTCGTATTCTGTGCCGGGCCAGGCCAACGAAGTGGTGCTCATTGAGTGGGGCAATAATCCTATGGAACTGCTCATCAATGACAAGGTACTTGAGGCTGGCATTGGGGTAGGGTTAGAGATAATCCAGAAATGTCTCGACCTGAGTAATGGGGAGACATTAGACATACATAAATAATGACCTCCATGTTCATATTTCTGCACCTTGGGTGACAGTTTTGATTTATAACTAGAAGGTGAGTTTCTAATCCTTATGGGCACTTGGGTGAAATCTGAAGTGGGACAGAACTTGCCCTATTCAGTCCATGATTTTTTTACTTTGGTTCTGGGAAATAGCAAAATCAGTCAAGAGGGATGTGGGCTCAAGAGACCATGACCAAGGATGCTGTGTAAGAGATCTTTCTCCATAGATCTTTGAAGTTCTACACTAAAAATATTATTGGACAAACATTCTGCCTCACACTCAATTATGGTTTTGGATTACATTTTTCAGTTTAGGGGGAAAAGTTGACTAGAGGAAACATAATAAACAGGGTAGATACAGGGGGACTTCTTTTTCTCTCCCTCATAATATTAGAACTTGGGTTCATCTGGTGAAGTTGATGGGCAGATTTGGGATCGACAAAAGGAAGTACTTCTTCACTAAGTGAATGATTAAAGTGTGGGATTGACAGCTAGTGGATGTATTGATGGTCACAAGTGAAGGTGGCTTTAAAAGAGGTGATTCATATGGATGGTTCCATCAAGGGTCCCTAGCCATGGTGATTAAAGGGAACCACCACACACAGAGGCAGCAAACCTCCGCATACCAGTCCTGTTGGGCAACATCAGAGGAAGGCCTGGGCCTCTGTACCTAGCACGATCTCTTCTGTCAGTGGCTCTTCATGGTTCCAGGTTGTTCCATTTGCTACCTGAACAACCAGAGGAAAAGGCACATGGTCTCCAGCAGGTGGCCAAGATCATGCTGTGATGGAGAGAACCCTCAGTGTAGGTGCCGGAGCACAAGAGATGTGTGGCAGAGAACTGCCCAGAACTAGCACAAACTAGATTGAGGAGGTGCAGAACCAGCAAAAGCTGGAGCTCAGCTGATGGCTTACATAAGAAGATGATAACTCCATGCCTTCCTGTATCTGCAGTTGGGTCCTCCTGCATCCTGCAAAGATCTACAGAGTGGCACTGTCTTCCTGCATGAGACTGGTGTGTGGGCTGCCTTGCACTTCCATCCACAAAAGGAGAACATGGCATGCTTCATCTCGTTTGGGGCAAGGGCTGTGGCTCAGTGGAAGAGCCTCTGCTTTGCATGCAGAAGGTCCCAGGTTCTATCTCCAGCATCTCTAGTCGAAAGGATAAGTGATGTGAAAGACCTCTGAGGTCCTGGAGAACCACTGCTAGCCTGAGTAGACAATACTGACATTGACGGTCCGATGTCCTGATTCATGTGTATGTTCATGTGCATTTGTAAGGGGCTTCTGGGTTCTTGTTCCACTGGCACTTGTATGGGAGCCTGCTGTGATAGAGAAAGCAGGGGATCTTCCTGGGGTACAGGGAGCCTCAGGAATAGCGGGGACCATCCTGGGCTGGTCAGGTCTTGAGGTGCCTCCCCCTTCTTCCAAGGAGTCTTCCTCTCAAACTGAGGCTGGGCCAGGACAGGCCCTTATGGTAGTAGAGGTCTTTCTCAGCACCTGCTATCAGGGAACTTCAACTGGAGACATCAAGGAGAGCCTGGGACCTTCTCTGTGCAAAGCTTGTGGTTGTGCCACCTTCCCCATGGCACTGTCTTTCAGATTCAGCATGTTGATCCTTGCTGCTTCCTTTGCAGGCTGCCACGTTGCCACTGTCCATTAATGATGCCAAGTGGCACCACATCTGTGTAACCTGGTCAACCCGGGATGGCATTTGGGAAACCTACCAAGATGGGGTCCGGAGAGGGAGTGGAGAGAATCTGGCTCCGTGGCATCCTGTGAAGGCTGGAGGTGTTTTCGTACTCGGCCAGGAGCAGGTAGATACCCCTCCCATACTGAGAGCCAGTTTGGTATAGTGGTTAGGAGCACGGACTCTAATTTGGGAGAATCGGGTTTGATTCCCCACTCCTCCATGTGCAGCAGCTGGTGTGACCTTGGGTCAGTTACAAGTTATTTCAGAGCTACTCTCTCATGAGCAGTTCTTGAAAGAGGTCTCTCAGCCCCACCTACCTCACAGAGTGCGTGTTGTGGGAAGGGGAAGGGAAAGGAGATTGTAAGCCATTCTGAGACTCCTTTGGGTAGTGAAGGGTGGGGTATAAATCCAATCTCCTCCTCCTCCTGCAGAAGGCCAGGAGGTAGGGTTACCAACCCCCACGTAGAGCCTGGAGTTATCCTGGAATTACAACTGATCTCCAGACTACTGAGATCAGTTCTCCTGGAGGAAATGGCCACTTAGGTTGGTGGACTCTATGGTACACCATAGAGTCTAGAAGAAACTGAAGTCCTAGAGGGACATCACATCCCTGCTGAGCTCCCTCCCCTCCCTAAATTCCTCCACCCCTAAATCTCCAGGAATTTTCCAACCCAGAGTTGACAACCCTACCATGAACTGCTTTTCTAAGTTCACCCTCTTTCTCTTTCCTTCGTCCCCAGGACACTCTTGGGGGTCGCTTTGATGCCACTCAAGCTTTTATTGGGGAGATCTCAGATTTCAACATGTGGGGCCACATCTTGACGGCAGGCGAGGTTTACAAGATGGCGACTTGCACTAGCGACATTGGCGGCGATCTAATCAATTGGGCCGAAGCCTCGGTGGAGCTTCACGGAGGAGTGGTCAAGCTACCTTTCAATGCCTGCCATTGATAAGCCACAACAGAACAGAGACTGCTGGGTTGCTTGGGAAGAGAGAGAGAAATTTAGTGGTTTAAGACTAAGGGTGGGGCTGGGAACCTCAGGATTTTGGGGGTGGGGGGTGGGGAGCCATCTGATGGTTTAAAAAAGAGGGGGAAAAGGGAACGAAAATTCTTGGGTTTCTTGGGGAAAGAAATAGAGCTGGTTTCAATCCACTAATCCACCTGGGTTCTTGAGGAGGAGCGCAGACTAGAACCACGTCTTGCAGCAAAGGCTTAGCATGTAGGAACGTCTGGATTTACAAGGGGGCCTGCTCAAAAGAACCCATTTTCTTAAAAATTAAAGTAAGGAAACCTTTGGTGTCAGTTCTATGGAGTTGTTTTATGGGGCTGAGAGATTCCTGCGACAGGGAAGATCCTCAGACGTTGTTTAGGGCTGCTGCATTTTGGCATTTAGGCGCATTTCTTTTAATATAAGTGGTAATTGGAAACTATGTTCCTCACAGTGGGGAAGTATACATACACCAGGTGGGACCATTTAGGCCTTGACTTGAGATAATTGTTTCACTGGGGAGATGATGATGGAAAGAATGGGATCAGGCAGCCTTTGGCAAACCGAGTTGCACGACAGTTGCCCACCAAGTTTGACTAGCAGCCTCCTTTATGTTGCCTTTGTGGAATATGCTGGGCAGGAAGTGGAGGGAGAGTTGGGTATGTCTTTCTGACTCTTTCTGTTTTGTTTTTTTGACCAATGCTCCTCTGAGGAAATGGATGGACATCTACCTTACTTGAACGATTTGGATACTCCTTCCTCAGCTGACAAGATTTTCAGTATTCTACGAACCTATATAGTCATTGGTGAACTCATACCTTACACTATCTGCTCCCCTCCCTCTTGCATCCCAGATACATTGTTCAGTCCCATACATCTTCTACATCATAGTGGGCGAATTTTGATTTGGTGTAAAATCCCAGCCCTTTGAACACCTGTCCTCAAAATTAGTGGAAGTGGCTTTGGTTGATTTTAATTTCTCCCTTCCACTGATCAGAAATCACTTCTAGTATGGGATTTGGGGAGGGATCTATAGGAGTGTTTTATCTTCTTCATCATAAAATATACACACAGATATGTAATATATACACACATGTACACATATAACGTGTGCCTCTACGTTGATGCATCTTGCTTGGTAGATTCCCATGGCTATTTTTTTCTGGTGTTTCATTCAACCCCACTAGTTTCAACTTGTCCAGTGCTGAATTTGTGTGCCCTAGACCTGATGTTCACAGGCATTAGGAAACCCCAAGTTAGTCAGCCTGTAGTTGTGAATGTCTTCCAAGTATGGATTGAATAATCTGGGCAAGATCTGCTTAGATCTTCCTGGACGTGTGCTGAACCCAGACCAATTCACTTAACGGTAGGCACAGTAAAGCGGTATGATTACTTCATCTGACAACAAAGACCTGTTTTTTTCAATGTATGTGAACATTTTACTGTGCCAATAACCGGTTCTCAGACTTTTTTATGGTGATGTGCTAAATTGCTTGCATCTATTGAAAAAAATGGGTGTTGTGTGCATGGTAACACAATCATACCTCTTCTTTACAATGTGCCTGCATGTTTCAGGGTGGGGTGTTTTGGTTTTTTTGAGGGGCGGGCTGGATTCCGATATGCCACGGCAAAGGGAATGTCTGAATGCTATGGTCCTCATTGTACAGGGCTCTTTTTGTAGAAAAAGCCCAGCAGGAACTCATTAGCATAATAGGCCACACCCAATGGCAGAAACTCATTAGCATATTAGGCCACACCCCTGACAGCACATTAGGCTGCACCCCCATGTTACTAGAAGTGTGGTCATCCAGCCACACCCACCTTTTGCTTCTTATTCTGTTTACCTTGTTTGTTGTCAAAACCCAGGGCCTTTTTTTTGTAGCTGGAACTCCTTTGCATGTTAGGCCACACACCCCTAATGTAGCCAATCCTAATGAGTTTCTGCTGTTGGGTGTGGCCTATTATGCTAATGAGTTCCTGCTGGGTGTGGCCAACTTGGGAGCCAGCCGGAACTCCGTTCCTGTGTGTTCCTGCCCAAAAATAGCCCTGGTCCTCAAGGCAAAGCCTGAGCGCATCCAGGGCCGGCTCACTCACTAGGCGAACTAGGCGATCGCCTAGAGCGGGACGGCCCTTAGGGGCACCAAACTGCACCCGGCCCTGTACTCTGGGAATTTCTTGATTTTTTGTGTTTTTCATTCTTCCTAAAATGCATTTATTTTTTAAAATTCGTGGGCGCAAGGGGGGGGGGAAGAAGGGATCCTCGCCTAGGGTGCAAAATAAGCTGGAGCCAGCCCTGAGCGCATCACAGGCTCAACCCACGTTAGGGCTGACTTTGCAACAGGTGCCCCATAACACGGGATTACAAATGATGATGTCTAGGCAGAATCTGGCCTCCTACCCAAAGTCAGCTTCACCTCTATACATGCAAATTCAACACAGACAACACGGGTTGGAAAAATAACTGGGGAAATGGCTGATTGAATCTATCCCTATTGTCAAAATGCATAGATCAGTTAGATTGTCCAGTAGGCCTGATTTGTGTGTGTAAATAGAAGAGGGAACATGAAGATGTTTAGAGAATGGGAGTCTTTAACTCTGTGGGGGGAAATAGTGAGGCGAGCACATTAGATCAGGTGACCCTGAAAGCCAGGAGTCCTGAATCCTTTAGAAGCCAAGTAGTGTGTCCTGTAGGGTTGCCAGCCTCCAGGTGGGGCCTGGGGATCTCTCGCTTTTACCACTGATCTCCAGCTGACAGAGATCAGCTCCCCTGGAGAAAATGGCTGCTTTAAAGGGGCGACTCTATGGCACTGTACCAGGCTGAGGCCCCTCCCCTCCCCAAACCCCGCCCTCTCCTGGCTCCACCCCCAAAGTCTCCAGGTGTTTTCCAAACCAGATTTGGCAACCCTAGTGTCCTGTGTATTCAGAACTCCTGGGTTCTGTGGATGGGATCACGTAGATGGAACATAGAGAACAATGCCTGGGAATGTTTGTTCAAAAGAACACCAAATGTCTTCTCTTGTGCATATATATACATATAAATACATATATATATCTCACCATAGGATAGGGTTTTCTATCTCTCTCTTTGTAAATATGGGATCTTTCTGGACTTTGATAGTGTTTTATTTGTGAAAGCGGGAATGGGTGGGATATGATGTTATTATATTGAATTTTCATACTCCAAGTTGGATGCAATAAATCTGCCAAAGAAACTGCAATCGTTTCCTGTGCGCTGTTGGGGTTTTTTTTAATGACATAAAATTCATACAGAGCTCGTTGCAAAGATGCTTCAGCAAGCTGCCTAAGTGGAGGAAAAGTTGAGTGGGGAGAAGACGACTTCCCCTGGCTGTTTTTAAAATACATGTCTCGAGCTGTTTTTCTCCCTCTGGGAGACAGGGAATAGCTCTTCTGTCCTCAGTCTCGCAGTGGAAAAGCCTGGCAGTGTGCAATTTTGAGGAGACGAATGGCAAGAAGGGAAATGGCCGTTCAGCGCATCTCACCACTACTTTCCCACACTCAGTTGCAGCCTACAAGGCTTCTTTTCAACAATAAAACAAACCGCCTTATCTCATGTCTAGTTTGGCCTTCAGTCGTCTTCAGGGGTCATTTAGTAGAAAAAGAGCTAGGGGAACTCATTAGCATAACTCATTAGCATATGCCACACCCCCTGCCATCACCGGAAGTGTGTCATAAGGCCACACCCACCACTCAGTTAGTCTTAGTCTTAAAGGTTAGTCTTAAAGGTGCTATTTGAACTCTTGGACTATTTTGCAGCAACAGACTAACACAGCTAATTCCTCTGAATCTAAACCCACCACTCAGGCTCCACCCCCAAAATCTCCAAAGTATTGCAAGGCCGGCGAGTGCGAGGAAGCCCCGTGAAGGCCCTCCCTGGCCCCAGGCAGGCAGAGGTGGGGAGAGGCGGGGGGGAAACAACTTACCCTCCCTCTTCTCCTGCCTCCTCCTGGCTGAATTAGGGCCGGAAGCGGGGCGGCTGGAAGCAGGGGGCGGGGCTTCATTGTGTGCCCCGCCCCACTCACCTGGGGGAATGGCGATCCCCCGTGATCCCCCCGAATCGACCCCTGGTCGTCTTGACAGTTCTGCAAAGGTATTACCTTTTTGGAAGGACGAGGGCTGATTTCTTCATAATCAAGTCTACGTATCCCCTATGTGGACTTTCAGTCGATGTGTTCAGAGAGTTGCCCTCTGAGAACTTCATTCCCTGGTGTGCCCAGGCCCCGATTCACACAAGGACTGCTGTGCATCAGGAGAGCAGCTAACTTCCTCTCTCATGCTCTTTTCCTAGCCTAAAGAGCCCTGGAGAGCCACTATTTGTCTGTTCTGCTTCAGCCAACTTGCATGAACTGATGGCCACACCTTTCCTTAGTAGGGCCGGCCCTTTAGCATCCCTCCTGGGCTGTTTCCAGTGGGGAAAATGGTGCATGGGAAAAGGCTGAACTTCCCTGTCCATGCATATCCAGCCCCAGTCTGAATGGGGCCTCTGTACACATGGGTATTCTAGCAGGGAACTCCTAGCACATGCCAGGTTGAAAGTACTTGTTGCAGCCCTGCAGACTTTCTAATGTGTAAACCAGCCCTGGGAGTTTGTTCAAGGAGATGCAATGAGATCCAGGCTAAGCTAAAGTTTGAATGGGAGAATCTTGAGCTCCTTAGCTACTAAATATCACTTAAGAAGTCCTAGTGTTTATGGTATCTTGGGGGGGAGGGTGAAATGTGTGAAGATCCATTAAAAAACACCCAGAATGAATATGGGGAAGACCAATGGTGCCCAGGAGACACATCGGTCTTTTCTATATCCTTTGTTTTGGGCTTCAAACAGAAGTGGGTTTTCACAAATGTCCATAATGTGGCAATCTTTCATATGCCGACATGTGAACTTCAGATTCTAAATACGCAATTTTACTGGGGGGTGGGTGGGGAACCCACTGAAAATGGAGCTC